ATTAAAAGGGATTATGGCAAAATGAAAACATATCTTGATCTTCACCCGTTCACTCACCCCTGGATGGGCATAATGTCACTTTTAGTATTTTGATAATTTTTATGTTATGTACGTACCCAGACTTGACATCTTCTTTTCACAACGTGAAACTTATCACAAATTTTAAGCAATTATAGCTTTCAGAAGAGTTAGAGGTGCGGCTGCTAATTGACGCAGAATACACATATCTGAACCCCGCCCTGAGGATTCTTAGTTTGGCTATGATGCTGCAGTTTAATCGAACAAAGCCACTTGTCGCCTATACCTACCAGAACTACCTTAAAGTAAGATTACTAGTCATTTATTCGTTTTTATTTACTTACACAAAGAAATTGAATAATTAAAATTCGAATAACAATGCTACATGCTGAATCCGTTTGAATGAAACTGTGCATGGATGGCACGTATGAACACATATTGTCTTCGCCCTCAAGTACCGGTTTTACGCTGAATATAAGAACGGTGCCAGTTAGATTAAAACTTCATTCCCACGCTTCTCGGGTAGACCTGTTTTCTGTCTTGTATTTGTATAACCGTTCTGTATATTAATGGGTAGCTGTAAAAACAAAGTGTTTAATGGTGTTTGATGGAACAACCTTTGAATTAAGATAGAATAGTTTTCCTAGCGTTTTTTGTGATATGAGAACAAAAATCTACATAGTATTGCTATTTAACTTTAAGTGGACATAGATTCATCTGAAAACGTTGCAAAAACACCTCACTTACATGACTGAAATAAAATAAACATATGATTTAAGCGAACTTCAAACACCAAACGTTTAAAATCAGAATAGTTAAAAGTTTTGTAAGATGTAAGTTCTATAGGCTTACGATTCTATAAAGATTTGTTATGTTTGAAAATTTCAGCAAACACATGACCAGGTTGTCAAGGATTGCCTTTTCATCCGCTCCAAAGGCGCTGGATTTGCTACAAAGTTAGTTCGTGGAGCATACATGCACAAAGAACGCCAGATGGCCAAAGACAGTGGCTACGATGACCCAGTCAACCCGACATTTGAAGCCACGAGTGATACATATAACCAGTCTATGGAACATTTACTGGATGCTATACAACGAGAACCAGACAAATGTTACGTGGTCATTGCATCACACAACGAAGATACAGTCAAACACGCTGTGCATGAGTGAGTTATATGTCGACATTTAACCATGTAAAGGAATTGTAAAAGTTTATTTTTCGTTTTCGTAGTTTTTCTATATATTCCGTCGTAATTGTGATTTTTATCTCGTATTTAGATGAATATATTTTTAGATGTCCCTGTTTCCCTAATTGATACAAAGTATTTTCTTTTTGATATCAACCAATTTTCCTTTACTAAATACATGTTATACCCACTTGAATGGGTATTTCAGGTACACATTGATGTGAATGTTTTTTGATTACTCAATATACACATAAAAAAGTTTGATTTAAATATGCAAATTAACATTTCTTTTCAGAATAAAATCCAGAGATTTGAAAGTCAACAGCGGGTGTATATTTTTTGGACAATTATATGGAATGTCAGATTACTTGTCGTCTGCTTTAGGTTGGTTCAATGTATGATTTTCATGTAATGTATTGTTTTGTTGCAGGATTGACAAAAGGTCATTGAGTACAAATAATGGTACGATATTTTTTGGACAGTCATATGGAATGTCCGACTACCTTTCGTCTTCATTAGGTGTGTATTTAGCGAGACAATGGATGGAAATTGAGAAATAAATAAACTGATGTGCAATAGACAGTGTGTACATGGTTATAGGGAAATTCTGTGTACTAGTACTACTAGTATTAGCAAATTTGCTATCAAAATTTACCTAAATATAGTGACTTCACGATGATTTACATTTAAAATCTGAACTTTGGTTTCGTGTAAACGGATGAAGAATGAAAAAGTTGCACAAACCAAACTGCTGAAAATAATCAAATTTCAATACAAGGTAAACCATTGTAAACCAATATGTTTATGCAAATTTTGATACCAAATTTGCCACTTTTTTGCTCATGACTGTATACGGAATTTTAAGTAACCAAGAGCACACTTTCTTTTGCAACTTAGTATAGTTTTTTTTAGAGGTAGAGGTCATTTGTCAACTTTCCTGCTTAACTGGTGGAGTTAGACCTCAGGTGCACCTCCATGCATTATTCCAGACACCTCAATAATTCCAACGACGTTCCGTAAGCTAGCTGACAGTGTTTGTATTTGGTATTGTATGGATACCTGTCATATGTAACATTGCTTTTCCTTATTTGGTCTGTCTTCGTTTTCAAGAAGGTAATATATGACTTAAGTGAATTGTTCTTATCACGCAAGGCCACAGTAAGGATATGGATTTGATATAAGCATCCAGTTACATGTACGAGAACATATTTGAGCCGCGTCACGACAAAACCAACATAATAGGTTTGCGACCAGCATGGATCCAGACTATCCAGCGTATCCACTCAGTCTGATCAGGATCCATGCTGTTCGCTTACAGACCCTATAATAAGTAGAGAAACTGATAGCGAACAGCATGAATCCTGATAAGATTGCACGGATGCGCAGGCTGGTCTGGATCATGTTGGTCGCAAACGCACTATGTTGGTTTTGTCGTGACACGGCTCATTTCATTTAATCAGACGTTAGTAACTATTTATGTTCCATTGTATTTTATTGATACCCTTGAAGTTAACGATCAGATAATTTTCGAAGAGATTAGCAAATCTATCTATAAATGATATTGACTATTCTAACCAACACTGTGTGGTTTAGATGGTAATGATATATAAGAAGTTCGTTTTATGTCAGCCTTTAAGCGGTGCCCCACTGCATGCTTTGTAGGTTAAATACGTGAAAATGTCCGTGTGTTAGAAGTGATATACAAATTGTATACACCTGGAAATAAGTTAAGCACAGCCCGGAAAGGGTTGAGGTAATTATCCGGGAACGTGGCGGTTTCACACGTTATTAAAAATTTGGCTACTTAATGTCATTTAAGGTTACGTAATCGTCAACATTGACCAAATATCCACCAGTAAATGTTTTGTAAAGGCTCTAACACAATACTTAAAAACAGTTACATTTTGGTAAAAACAACACATTTGCTTAAGCTTCAATAATTTGGTTAAGGATAAACTAAACTCATAAATTTACTGGTTTATGAATACTAAATTGGTATCGCTACTTATCGAATTACTATTTCTTGGCTCAATCAAGCAGTTATTTCAAGATAGTGCTTTCAATCACAACCAATTTTAAATTCCCATGTATATATAACTGGTCATACATTTATATTGTAAGAGTTTGCCATACATTTTTGTCTTAAAAACTGTTTCTTTTTCTTGTTGTAAAAGTTGATGGCAATTTTGAATCCTAAGTAAGTAACTAAGTAAGTTATTTCGTATATAATCATGAAAGACTGGTGATTCTTTGAAACAAGTGTAGAATGATATTATTGAACCACATGCAGGATATAAAGACACACGTACTATGCTTTAATAAAGCAATGGATGCCTTTTATCCAACAGGACATGCGGGTTTTGCTGTTTACAAATCTACTCCTTATGGACCAGTTGATGAAACTATTCCGTACCTACACAGGAGAGCACTGGAGAACTCTTCAGTGCTAGGAGGAACACAGAAGGAACGGCAACTCTTGTGGAAAACTCTAGTAAGCAGAGTAACGTTTGGTTTGTTACCGAGAAACTCCCAGCGAGTGCAATGAAAATGCCGTCAATGCATCTTTATGACAAATAGTATAAAGTTATATAAACATGTAGTCTTTTGTATTTTCTTATATTTTTAGAAGATATCTTTAGTAAGTATGTATGACATTATTAACTAACCTAAGCAACAAGTTTAATCATCTTCATTCTTATTTTTATGAAAAAGTGATGTTTTTGATATTTAATTTTATTTTATATATTGTTTATTGTTTTATTATTTTTTGCTATATATACAACTATTGAGATACCTCTTGATTAACTTATTTTTAAATAAGTTTTTCTTATAATTAAATATTTCATTCAAGAAGCATTTGGCATATAATTACCATAGATACGTTAAAGATCCTATATTTTGTAATTATGGTTGTTACCACACTTCTTAATTAAGTGAAATTTTATATATGTATATAATTATGCAACTAAAACTATTTTCAAACATCATATGTAAAATATGTACCGCAAATATTTGTGCACATTATATGACTAATGTAATCATTAAAATATATGCATTCATTTCTTATTGAAAAAATTGACATAGACTATAGAAAATATATTTCTGATTGAGGTAATCAGAAACATGAAATGTAAATTCGGTAATATCTTCTCAAAAAAAAAAAGAAAAAAAAAAAGGAGAAGCTTTTTGGTACTTACAATATTGATAAATTTCATCTTCAGTTGAGCATTATATTAATGATATAAAGCCATAAAAAGCATTACAGAATGTTAAAGCTTATATGTTGATGTTTTGAGTGTTCATCACATAGTTCTTGATTAAACATTGTATCATAGTTTGGGGACCTTTCTGTTGAAAATGTGTCAGAGTTAAATTGTATACATATACATGCACAGTGCGTTAACTGGAATGCAGGTATAAAGTACCCGCACTCTTGAGCATGTCCATTGATTGGCTCACTTTTGCTGGGGTTTACTTATTGCGACGGCAGGGAAAGGGAAAGCAATGAAAATATCATATTCAGATGCTCGTTCATTGGTTACTTTTTTCTGGGGTTTCATGTTGTGACAACAGGGAACGTGTTTTTTATGTTTGACTATGTTACAAAAGAGAAAGAACATCAAAACACTCGGCATTCTAATTAATACTCGTGGCCTACGCCCACTCGTACAAATCAGATAGCCTCGTGTTTCGATGGTCTTTCTATTACTAATAGAGATAGCTCTTAGTTTCCTTGTTTTACAAATAATAATGCTATTTGTCATACATGTATGAAAATAGTTATGACCAGATAGCTTCTTTAAAGGAACTCCACTGAGGTCAAAAAAGCCTAAAAATTAAAAAAAATAATAAAATTTACATAAATCAAATGAAGCACTTAAAATAGAAAAGGATTATAAAGAAATATGCTCAGAACTAAAATGAAAATCGATTTCTGAGCGTTTCTTATCCCAACTTGAGTGAAAAGCGTTGCAACGCTTTTTTTTGGGGTAACATTTTGCATAATAAAACGATAATTCTGAAAAAACGTGGAGAGTGAAGGTTCTGAAAATTTGCAGAAAAGTTATTGGTCTCGACATACATCAAATGGTACACACACACATATTGGAAAATTTCTCCAGACCCTTCAAGTCAAAATCCTCAGTGGAGTCCCTTTAATTGCCGTTTCTTTCTTTTAATTTTTAGTTTTAAGAAAAGTTTTGATACTTGTAGTTGTGCTTAAATGGACAAAGTGTAAGAAAAAGAAAAGAGTTGTCACGCTTTATTCTTACCTTTTATTCCTTGATAAGATTGTTTTAACATTTAAGAAAACTTTTCTGTTTATACGTACAATTCATGATAAATCACATAACCGTATACAAATGTACACGAAATAAAATTATTTAAATAATGTATTTATTTTGTCCTTGTTTTAAATGTGTCATTTAGATTTGTAAAATTTGAATGGTCGTTTCGTTATTAGCGCCCATTCGCACAACTGTGTGCAGAATAACTGTCTGTAAAATTTTTAAAATGCCGACAAAAAAACTGACATAATTTATTTTCCCATAATAAAACGTAATAATAATAATAATAATAATAATAATAATAATAATAATAATAATAATAATAATAATAATAAATAATGATAATTACTATTATAACATTAAATTTTTTTAACGAAAATAACAACAAATAAGACAAACTTACCGTCGGAGACCGACGGTTTATTGACATGCAACATAACATTATAACTGCTGGAAGAAATTCAAATATCTAAGGGAGATCATTCCATATCCAAATTCATACGGCAGTATACATTGATACACGGTTGTCTTTCTTGCACCCTTATAAAGACATGTTTGTTGTGGTTCATATGGAACATTTCGAAGTTACCATTTTAAGATACAATCGAAATCACTGCTAAACGGTAATATAACGGTAGTCCTATATGAGTGAAACTATCTTTACAAAAAAATGAACAAATGATTATTATATGCATATGGGAAATAATGCCCGTAGAAATTTGGGCATATTCTAGCGCCTTTTTTTACAGAAATATATGATACATGGAAAAAATTCAAGTACGGATTTCTTATATATTCTTACATACAAATAAAGTAGCAATGCCATTGGTGTGTACGCGATCGTGCTTTTCAACAAAGTCCTTAACCTTACCATCCTTTTTCAAGGCATTTATTTTCTGCTCAACATCTTTTATTTCTTTTTCGTTTGCTATTGCCCAATAAGAATCACTGTCCCGCCAGGCTTTGTTCAGTGGACCTTCTGCGTTATCATAGTCTACCAAAACGGAGCCTAGCAATTTCATTTTCTGAATACAAGTAAAACCTGTCAGTGTAAAGAGGTCAAGAAATTGATGAATTGAAGCAAACTTCTTGACATATTTGCGCGAAATTTCCATGTTGAGATGATTGTACCAACTGTTCATGATATCATCCGGGGTAGATGCCATAATGAACATGGTTCCATTCTGACACAATACCCTGCCAGCTTCAGCAATAGCGTGCCCGAGTTGTTCGAAGCGCTGGCTTTCATTTATATCGTCGTTTGTATCAAGATGATGTAAGACCTGATGAAGATACGTTACAAAATATGGAAGGGGAATATCAGCCACTTTTTTGTGTTGTTTGATATTTAACATCCTAATTCTTATTTTATTACAATAGTTTGTTGGCAAACATGCTTATTACTAAGATACTGTTCTCATATGAATAAAGCATATTATGAGAACATTTTTATTTGAACAGTACCTTTGACTTTTATGTGAATTTGTTTATCATGATCTATGTCTCATTTTATGAATTGTGAATGTGAAATTTATTTCTCATAATGAAATTGACAATAGGAAGTAGTATTCTATTAGACTTGAATGATAAAAAAACAGTCCCAAATTAAAAATGCATATTTCATATACCCGAGTTTGTTACCATTCTGGAGTGCAAACCATTTTGAAGGTAGATTTATATTCTCGAGATTGACAGACATTAACAGTATACAAGTGTATATACACGAGATTGATATATATGTACTAAAACGTTTATCAGATATTATTTTCGGGTATATATGCATGCACATTCTCAGTTTATAAAATTTTTACTTTTACATTGTATCAATCTTTGTACATGTATTGGTTAAAATAACTATTTCCACTGAACATCCCTTAATTTCGAGTAAGCGAATGTAAGAACAAAATGTTGCAATGATGAATAATTTTGTCAGATTGGTGTTTATGAATATGCATACTTTCATTAAAAAAGTCTACTCTCTAACCTTTATTGTCGGGTTGACATGAATAAACACACTTTATTTTTTTAATGTTCGGCATATAAAAGTAAGCACATAGGTTTGTATTTTTTATTCATATCTATTCTGGGTGAGCAATGTGTTTTTTTTAACAATCTGCACTCTTTCTCTGCATCTTATATACGGAATGTTTCAGTAACTGCAAAAGCTGTTTGACAGTAACATTGAGTAATGTATAGAAAAATCAGTATACATGTATGAATATGGACGTCATCAGTCTGCACTGATGACACATCTTTGTAGAAAGGTGTATAATACTGGCCGCCGAATTTAACAGTATGTGCCAGAATATCTGCACACTTGCTGGTCAGGTGTTTGTACATTCATCAGCGGCAACTTAAATGACTACCTTTTTATTGAGCCTGCCTAGGATGTGTTAGGATGAGGGTGGGGAGGATTACGAGAAGTAGTGATATATCTCTACAATTTTTTTAAAAATTTTATTCCATGCTGCAGAATAGTTCGCATAAAGATATGATTTTAAACTATTCAAAATTGCAATTTGTCAAAATGTAAGAAGTTATTTTTAAAAGTGATGCTAATAATTATTTCCTTCAGTTTCTCATAGAATATTAGAATATATCTAATTTCATCATCTTCATTCGCGCTACATTACTAGCTACTTCCCCTTTGTCACTATATTAACAATAACTGGTGTTGATGTGTTAATCAAAGGTGCATTACAAGTAACATTGATTTGCGAGCTGTTCTTCAATGACACATTTTACACTACAACACAATGTATCTGCTATTTTTTTATGTTTTGTATTTATTTGTTCAAATATTTTACACATGTTGTGGGGAATCAAAGAGCTAATTTTGATAAGAAAGATAAATAATGTCTGAACACAAAAAATATAATAGTGATAATCATGCATTAATAGTTTCTTTGCATGTTTACAAAATAAAATGCATATAATCATATTATCACTGATACGAATTAAGATAAACGATGATTTTTCACAAATAAAATGTTGTCAAAATATACTTAAGTCATATAAGAAAGGTGTCATACTGATAAGCTAACACATTTCCGTCCAAAACAAAACTAACGCAATAAAATAAGAAATATCATGTTAGAATATCAAACAACAAAGCACAAAAGACGACCTGGCGGATATTGCCTTCCAAAACAATATCCATAAACGCATTACTGATTCATTGATAGAAAAGTGATATTTTTAATGCTGTAGTCGTTCGTTCATTTTTTTGACATTAATCTGTAAGCATGTAGTAATAAAGTCAAGCTTGATCAATGCCGTTATCCGGCACACATGTTGTGTTTTCCCAAGCCAATCCATAGGTATAAAGCTTCACGGTTACTTGTTAGCTGTAACTGTAAAAGTTTGTTTGTACCCACAGATTAAAATATTGTTACTTCCACAGTAAGTCTTTTTATATCATAAGTATTGTTTGTTAATAATGTGCAGTCAGCGTTAACATAACTGAATAAGAAGCAAAACGCCCTACCGCGGTTTACATATTATATGGACTTGTCCATCTTTTAATGTGTTGACTAAAAGCGTATTCTGTTCATAACAATTTTAGCAAAATATTAATAATATGTACTGACTGAATAGCAAGAAGTGCAGACCATGGTTAGACGGCACGGATGTGTCCGTTGGCATTGTCCTACGTAGAATCTGTTGCCGCCAGGACGGTAAGGGCTATTATATCTTATTAAACTTACTTTAGACGCTCATGTTTATTTAACATCAAAATCTCATACTTGACTGAATAAAATGGCATCAAATGTAGCGTCATCAAATGGCATATTTGGAAGCCTATGTTCAACTGTGTCAACAACAACATCCCTAGATAGAGCATCAGCAGTTTAATCTTAGCCCTTTCAAAACATGCCAGTGGAAGCGTCCATTAGCGTTTACTTTACCGACGCCATAATTGATTAAAGATTTTGTATAGTTACCGGTCCCACATCCGGCATCGAGCAGATGAAGCTCCTGTTTATAATAGAAGTACATTTCTTTGTTATACATAATATGGAGTAACAAGTTTGAAGATCTGGAATGTCCCACAGATAACATAAATTCACCCTTCTTATCAAGGTGCTAGATCTAGTGTTATGGACAAACATATTTCAATGTATGACAAATTCGACACTTTACATAATAGACGATGTCTACCATTGTCAATAAGTTAAAAGCAAATATGTATAATTTAAACTATACAAAAATGAATCTAAATACACTGATAGATGATTAATAATTGAAAAAATCATATACCCCGGTATTCGGTATAACTTTTAAAAAGATTTTATGAATTTACTCGTTCAACTCAACATATAAACACAGATACATGTACATATGAACAACTTTGAAGGCTATATTTAAGATAAGATGAGTTTTGAAAAATCTACAGCTTATAATTATAATTCATACCACAATACATGTCTTAAATAAACTAAATGGTAAGAAAATTTTTTCGAATCGGTGCAGGACAACATTGCATATATAGTTGCTCTCATTTTTTGCATTTTTAAAACAATCCATTTGGCTAGCAAACGCTAGTTTTATATAACTACCCATTGCAACTGTAAAATGTCAGTAACGCAATGCTAACAATTAATATTTGTTTATCAAAATTATCGGAATGACTTATACAATTTCTCTTAACATGTCGTTCAGCTGCCAATGCTTTCAGTGCTTTGATTATAGTATGTTGTGGTAATGTAAAGATGTAATTATCTCGTCATTGAAATATGACAATGTGGTTATGCCATTTAAAATGTTGAATCTATTTTTCCCGTCATTGAAAAAGGACAAAATAATACGTTTACCTTCAGCGGTTTGTTATTGTAAACATGCATCATTCCAGCAACAATATCAGCACCTAGCGGCTGACGATTGTCATCATAACCATTACACGTGGTATTGTAATCTTCAAATGTACTCATTGTTAACCTGCAACAATAAACAAATGTATATATGATGTGCTCATACTTCAAACTGGTTAATTATTTCTAAATAATTTAAATGTACATATATGTAACCTATAACATTATAAAATATCAACATTTTGTGTGCAAACTATACTGGTAACAGACAAATGAAAATCTGAGCTGGTTTGTACATTATACAGTATTATATTTAGATGACTAATCAGCTGGACAAATTTGAAAGACAGACAGTTTATGGAAGAAACATGCTGAATTTATTTTTATCAATGTATTTCGAACTATTAAAGAAAGTAATGAATATTTGTCTTACATGCAATGAATGAAAATCATTTAACTTCATTAGTAAAATAGCTTTACTTCCAATTTTGATTTTACAGGTAAAATTTGAAGATTCACCGGCAACAATATAATTCTTTACTACTGTTTCATATTTCATGTACGAGTATGTCAGTGGTGAATATGGTAATGCATGTACATATACTATTGCACTTAATAAATTAATTTTATAGTTCATTATACATATATGCAGCTTATTTATTATTTTGCACATATAAAAAATAATTTTCCTACCCTGATTTTAATGGGTGGGGAAGGGGAAACAAACATATTTCTATTTTTGGCCTTAGTCCTTAACAATTGAGGAACTACGAGAACATGTATATCTGTAAATATAAGTAAAGTGCGGGTTACTAGTACCTGCAATCCAATTAACGCACTGTGCGTGTATATGTGTACGATTGAACCCTGACACATTTTCAACAGAAAGGTCATCGAACTATGAAACGCCCGCTTATCAAGTACGAGCAATCAATTGATTAATCAGTACATGCAATAGCTTTAATTTTTCAATATATTTAAATCAATTATTTGGCATATATACATGTATTAATACATATCTATAGAAAAACATAAAACAATGATAACTTACCCTACATGTACTGTAATTGTTACTTATTGTCCTTGTAAAGAGATGAACAGGTGTCTTAATGCGGTTTAAAAATAAATGATAATACGGTGGTAAATATCGAAACTCTAGTGATAGAGTGTTTGTCATGTAAAGAAATCAATGAAACGAAATATGCTTACTGACTGCCATTTCCTTTCATCTAACAATGGAATTGCTCTCTTTTTAATTTGGAACTGTTCATTATCAATTTTAGGGAAAGCAGTATCAAAATGCTAAAATTATGCAGCCATCAATATGATATTGCCCATGACAAATAAGATACTTTGGTGCTGGGGTTCGTCGAGGTGGGTGAGGGGGTGTAAATATTAAAATAATAAAAAACAAGAGCATCGCTAGGCGGAGCATTATATGCCCGAAAGTGTTTTTTTTTAGTAAGGATGAAGCATTTGTAAGACATGGGAATTAGCTGTTCACTCTATAAAATTTTACAGCTGTAGGTTGCTGAATACTTAAGTTATTAATAATGACCTTAACCTTTGACCTTGTGATCCCAAAATCAATAGGGGTCTTCTACCTAATATGGGCAATCATCCTAAGAAGTTTGAAAATTGTGGGCCAAATGGAACTTTAGTTATGCTCCGGAAACTGTTTTCAATTTTAAGGTAATAGTGACCTTGACCTTTGACCTTGTGACCCAAAAATCAATAGGGGTCTTCTATCCAATATACACAATCATACTATGAAGTTTGAATATTGTGGGCCAAATGGAACTTAAGTTATGCTCTAGAAACTGTTTTCAGTATTAAGGTAAAAGTGACTTTGACCTTTGACCTTGTGACCCCAAAATCAATAGGGGTCTTCTACCCAATATGGACAATCATCCTATGAAGTTTGAATATAGTGGGCCAAATGGAACTTAAGTTATGCTCCGGAAACTGTTTTTGGTTTTAAGGTAATTGTGACCTTGACCTTTGACCTAGTGACCCCAAAATCAATAGGGGTCTCCTACCCAATATGGACAATCATTCTATGAAGTTTGAATATTGTGGGTCAAATGGAACTTAAGTTATGCTCCGGAAACTGTTTTCAATTTTAAGGTAATAGTGACCTTCACCTTTGACCTTTTGACCCTAAAATCAATAGGGGTCTTCTACCCAATATAAACAATAATCCTATGAAGTTTGAATATTGTGGGCCAAATGGAACTTAAGTTATGCTCTAGAAACTGTTTTCAGTATCAAGGTAATATTGACCTTGACCTTTGACTTTGTGACCCCAAAATCAATATGGGTCTTCTATCCAATATGGACAATCATCCTATGAAGTTCGAACATTGTAAGTCAAATGGAACTTGAGTTATGCTCCGGAAACTGTTTTCAGTTTTAAGGTAATAGTGACCTTGACTTTTGACCTTTTGACCCCAAAATCAATAGGGGTCTCCTACCCAATATGGACGATCATCCTATGAAGTTTGAACATTGTGGGCCAAATGGAACTTAAGTTATGCTCCGGAAACCGAATTGCTAACGGACGGACGTACAGACAGACAGACGGACGCCAGGGGGTATAACATAATATGCCCTTTCGGGCATATAAAAAGTTCACAACACGTTACGATTACTACTGATTCCGTTTTACTAACCAATTTAAAAGCCCACAATTTATTCCAGCAGACTAAAGCTCGAAAATGAGACCTTTATGACACACACGATCAAAGGCTTTTGAAATATCGCAAAAGACAGCTCTCACTTCTTTTCCATCATTAAGGGCTTTGCAAAATGTATTACATAAAGACGCAAGTTGATTGGTTGTGGAGTCATTTGGAACAGTGTTATTAACAACCAAAAAATTGAATATATGTCTATGTATAATTTTTTCTAAAGATTTGCTGACCGTGCTAAGAAGTGATATAGGTCTGTAATTAGAAACAATTGAAGGGTCATCTTTCTTGTAGATTGCACATACATAAATATTTATATTATATAAAGATAACCCCCGCCCTTAATATAAAAAGTCTTCTTGTTATAAATTAAAAACTAGATACCAGTCTACAAAAAAGCTAGAATCTGATTGGTTGCTTTTTGAGTATAAATAATCAAACTGGCCAATGGAAGCCGTTTTCATTTCATAACCTTAGACCCTGTTCTCTAAGCTTGCGCTTGTTCCAAAATTAATAGACTTATTCAAAGATTTTGCATGACAAAAGGTATGCATGCTTCATTTGAAGGTGTTTAAAGGTACCAACCTATGCAAAAAGAAAGGAAATAACATACAACTGTACCTAGAAATTAGAAATTAAAAATTAAAGAACATTATATTAGACTCATTCAGATGTTTGAGAATTCCAGAATCTGAGATATTTCATGACAAAGTGAACTTCTTTACAATAGATATTCTGACAAAGTTCTTTATTCTAACTGGCAGTATATTATGCTTATACAGGGAAGAACTAGCAGTATTTAATTTTTAGTACATGTAGTTGAAACATAAATACACATGGAGTTAATATTATTTGTAACTGACATTTAAATGGAGTTTATTAATTTTGGTAGTTAATTTATTGATGAATACATTTACACTGAGACTATTTTAATACTTTTACATAATGTTAATATTCTCCCATACAGGACTATTTACAAACAATCAAATCTAAGGGTATAAATAATATGAATATCACAAATAATGAAATTATTTCTTGTTTTACAAGACTAGTGTAAATGTACATCGAACAGATTAGCTGATAAAGTTTATACATATATTTCAACACTTTAACTTTCATCTATAACTATTGTAACTAATCTTAATTACTTGTCATTAAAGACCAGTATTTGTTGAAAGGTGATCTCTTCAACAGTTAGTTTTGCACTACAACTGATTATAATAAAATCAGAAAATAATTTTTAAAAAATGCTGGCATTAAATTATATGTTTTATATGGTGTCTATATAGAGGTAGTCTAGTCATAACCTTATTTTAGAGGATAAATTATTCAAAAATTTTTCTGCACTTCAGTTTCTAAGTAACCTAATAATTTGAAGATACATTTGAAGACACATTACAATACCAAGGTAGGGCTTAATCTAACTCGTTGCCAAACTCATTTGCTTTTTGTTATATACTCATCATTTGTATAATATTTGACATTTATTTGATGCAATACAATATGTTTTAACTAATAACATTTCTAAATTTCCTCACTCGCATTTAGCTGTAACCATAAAATATCTACATGTATATTAAAAAGGTATGGCCATGTTAGTTAAAGAGTGAGTAAGTCTGAGGAAAGTCTTTCACAAAACTTCTAATATATATATATATATATACTTTGATGCATTAATATATATATATATATATATATATATATATATATATATATATATATATATATATATATATATATATATATATATATATATATATATATATATATATATATATATATATATATATATTAATGCATCAAAGTACAGAGTTCAAGCCAGGTCATGCCTTTTAATTATTAGATAGCATCACTGAAGACTCAATATTCTATACTGCAGTCCATTTAACGGTGTTTCAAAAAATGATTTCTTTATTGCTCATCTATCAGCTTGCCTGGAACATCACATCTTCCTTGTCTCATTAATAACTTTGGAAGAAAAAAGCCTTGGTGTGAGTCACTTGTTAGGGACATTGACATTGGTCAGAAGATGACCCCTATTGTTTTTGAGGTCAGTAGGTTAAAATCAACATGGCCTTGATGACAAAAATGGATTATATTTTCAAGCAATGTATACTTCAGCGCTATCAGTGCTTTGATTTTCTGTTTCACGGTATTTTTATTTGTTTGGGTCGTCAGACCAAACAAATAATGGTAGCGAAATTACAGACTCTAATGCTGTTAATTGCAAATGCCGAAAGTAGTCCGCTTTTTTGAAGCGGTTACTTCCCTTTATATGTACATTAAAGCCGAACAATTCAGGGGAGATCACTGCGTAAAGATGGTCAAATGAAAGGCTCATTAATTTTCAAGCAAAATAATTCCCGAATGTTCGAATATTTCTAATATTGTTTTATTCTTTATAGATATACATACTTATAGTAAGCTCCATGATTAGTTTCATCTGTGTTAAACAACAGTTAGCGTCGTTAAAAACCCTACTTTAGAATAATATGGTTTTCTTCATGCCGTGGCCGAGGGGTTTGCGCGCTCGCTTAAGAAGCGAGAGGTCTGGAGTTCAAATCCCAGTTAAGGCAACTCATTTTTTTTCAAATTGTTTAAGTCAAATAAACATTGGATTGAATATCAGTGTTGCAATTAGTCTTATAGCCAATTTAGTACAAACAAAACGCTGGAAAGCGTTGGTGGCACTATACAAAAACAAATTGGTTTATAATCTCACAACCTTCACCTTTCTTACATTCTGAGACCCAAACAAATTCAGCGCCTTCTGTGCTTTGATTTGACTTGTCGTAGCCATTTTGCAGTCTGATAGGACGAGCCTTATTGGACGTCCAATCAGATCGCGTATATCACACAGGTATCAGAATCCAAAATGACAGCGACAAGTCAAAACATACAGTGAAACAGAAAAAATCGATAGAATATTGATATTCGTTGGACTTGAATTAAGTAAGCTGTGATATTCAAGTTCTTTTTATTGATATTAATGAATCACGGGGGAGGAAGTGTTACACTAAGGATGGAGTTCTTATGATAACTTGTTTGGAGTTTTTATGATAACTGTCACGGAGTTCCTGGAAAACGTTACGGATTTCTGTGGAAAACTTTTCTATATACTTTGAGAACTCGCGTAAAAAATGGTTATTTTTAACTTTAAATGGGGAGTTTGAGGTGCTAAATTTAACTTTGATAATTAGGCTTGTTTGTTGCCCTACATATTGTATTTTGTTTCAGAAAAAATCTTTAGGTCCATATTTTGTCGCCTTTTTTTTAAAAAATCTGGTAGTTTTTAGAAAAATTACCAAATTACTTGCTAATTCGTACATATTGACCTTTTCATTTGTGATCTTCTTCGTTGCTATACTTAATTACCTAAATATTATGGAGAGTTGCAAACATAAAGCCCAGGCTAATAAAT